AAATTCCCCAAAAAAAACAGCCTCTTGACCAGACGACCCCCTTAAATGATTATTTTTTCCTAGTGTCCATCTAACGCAGGATCATCGTATTATAATTATAAGAATAATCATAGTATTGTGCTCCTCGGAATCTGTGACGCACAATATATGTTCACGTTCGTCGATATAGGAGCCTATGGTCGTCGCAGTGACGGTGGTATTTTCAAAGATTCAAAGATGGGTTTAAAATTCCATTCAAAGGAAATAAATGTACCTGCACCAGAACCTCTCAGCCCAGGTGGACTTCCTTTACCATATGTTCTGGTGGGCGACGAAGCCTTTCAGTTGACAGATTATTTGCTTTGTCCTTATCCAGGAAAAGGCGGCTTAAATGACGAGCGAAATGTTTATAACTATCGATTAAGTCGCGCCAGAAGAACAATTGAGAATACGTTTGGTATTCTAGTCAGTCAATGGAGAATTTTAAAGCGACCAATCAATTGTAGTATAGAAAAGACAATTTCAATTGTTAAAGCCATTGTATGTCTCCATAATTGGATTCATCGGAGGGATATTGGAGAAAATCAATATGTTACTCCAATGCTAATTGATCAGGAAGATAATGACGGCTTTGTTCCAGGCTCTTGGAGAGGTTGCATAGATAATAGTGCACTTGTAAACATAACTTAATGCGGTTCTAATAATAGTTCTTGTCAAGCAATGCAGATTCGAGAAGAATTTTGTAAATAGTTTAATAGTGAAGGTGCCATACCGTGGCAATTCCATCATTGTTAGTTTTAAATAATAAATAAATAAGAAACAAACCTCAATATGGATAATCGTTCATTTATCAATTTTATACATGTAATTTGATTTGGAAAGTAATGAAATAAAAATTATGAAATATCAGTGAAATTGTTTTAAAATTTATTATAAACATTATATACTTATAAATACTATATATTTTATTTTATATACATATATATATATATATATATATATATATATACGTGTTGGTAAACAAGAATTCTACTTGCACACATACAGCTACGATAGCTGTTCTTTTTCCGCGCGTTTGTGTTTATAGAAGTATACTGTAATTCAAATATATTGTAACGGTTTCCCGTGTATTATAAGCATGGATTTTATATTTATAATTATTCACGTTAACTTTTTACGAGAACATATTTTATTTGTTCAATTAAATTATAGACAATTGTATATAACAAATGAATTTCGTGTTAATGTTAATGTAGCGAAACTGCAAGTGCTGGTCAGATATTGAAGAGTACTCCGGATGATGCTGAGCCAGGATGTTCCCAAACAAGGTAGACAAAATATTATTGCACTTATTTCATTAATAAAAACATTGCAAATCAGAGTTTCATTTTTTATGTATTCAAATTGTACAGTATTTTTAAAAGCAAGTAATCAATTTAATTATATAAAATAAAACACTTTTGATATTACAAACTTAATGTTGTTAAACCTGCATAACATTTACTATATTTTTAATAACTTTATAAGAAATGACATGTTTATGTCGCGAAACTGCAAGTGCTGGTCAGGTATTGGAGAGTACTCCGGATGATGCTGAGCCAGGATGTTCCCAAACAAGGTAGACAAAATATTATTACATTTATTTCATTAATAAAAACATTGCAAATCAGAATTTCATTTTTTATGTATTCAAATTGTACAGTATTTTTTAAAGCAAGTAATCAATTTAATTATATAAAATAAAACACTTTTGATATCACAAACTTAATGTTGTTAAACCTGCATAACATTTACTATATTTTTAATAATTTTATAAGAAATGAATTTTATGTTAATGTAGGAAAACTACAAGTGCCGTTCAGGTATTGGAGACAACTTCAGATGATGCTGAACCAAGATGTTCTCAAACAAGGTATAAAATAATCTGTATAAATCTCGACCACTCTATATCCTTCAATCATTATTAACATAATAAATTTAATATTTTTTTAGCGTTGATGATCTAAATATTGAAGAAGTAAAGGCGAGCAACGTTTGTTTTATTTGTAATAAAAAAAGGAAAAAAGTACATTTACGTTGGCAACATTTACATATTTCTGATAAAAACAGTATTGCAAATACAATGAAGTCAATTGCTTCTGAGGCTGATGATATCCAAATGCTAGAAAAAGTACAGGACCTCTTGAACAGAAACTGCATATTAAAATACCACCTGTGCTGTGTTATTGATTACAAAAATGAATGTCGCCATCATTTAGAAAAAGAAGCAAGCAATATTTCTAAAAAGAAACTATGCTATAAAGTAGCTTACGAAAGTGTGTGTTCCTATGTGAATAATACTATTATTCTTGAGAAAAAGTACTGTAATATAGCACACTTACGGAATATGTTTATCGATCAATTAGAAATTGAAATTGCCGAAAAAAATTTGAATGCTTCGCCTAGTTATTTAGCACCGTGATATTTTGAAAAAAAAAACTATTAAAAACGCTTCCAAAAATAATTAAAATAGTTTCAATTAACAAACAAAAAATTGTTATGCCAAGTACTGGACTTAAAATCGAAGATATTGATTTAGAAAAAGTTGACGCAATCGAAAGAGTTGCTTTGATTTTGCGACAAGAAATTTTGGCTATGGAAGCACAGAAACTTCCTTCTATTAAAAACTAAGCATCTAATCGAAGGAGAATGCCCGCAAATACCTGAAAATCTAATTGCTTTTTATCACACATTACTATAGGGGTATTCAAATAAGTTAAAGTTTAACGGTTTGACAGGTTATGGCGGGTTAAAGTCGAGTAAAAAGTTAATTAATTAACTTTGGGCGCGTTACTCTTTAAGGTTATGCAAAATACATAAGTGACTCATTAACCTATCACATTAATCTTTGGGTTAAAAGTGTAAAAATTAACTTTTTACCCGACTTTAACCCGACATAACCTGTCAAACCGTTAAACTCTAACTTATTTGAATACCCCTTATGTGGTACTCATGCGCGTAGTCAAAAAAGTAATGTGCGCAGCAGACTAATTCAGTCTTTCTCAGAAGATGTCATCTACGCAATTACAAATGGGCGTATTGAGACTGCGAAACATATTACGTTAGGTATTGCAATTAAAAGCCTCACAAGCAGCAGAAAAATCGTAGATATTCTTAACCGATTCGGACATTGCTGTAGTTACATCGTTGTCAAAGAACTCGAAACTGAAATGACTTATTCATCTAGTGAAGAAACGCAAATATGTCCAGATGATATTACGAGAAAACCGAATCTCAACACAGGATTAGCGTTTAATAATTTTGACAGATATGTTGAGACACTTACCGGCAAAAATACTTTGCACGATATTGTGGGCATCATATTTCAAAATATTCAGGAGGAAGAAATAGGAAATGAAGATTTCAGCATCGATGAATCGTCTTCGTCATCAACGTTAAGTAGAAAAAGAAAAAGGCGTTCTTATGACGTTATAACGGCAGATATACAACTGTATGCAAAAAAAACGAAAATGGTCGAAGTTCTGCAGGTATTGCCCGATGAAGTATATAATGACATTCCAAGTAGTTTTAAAACTCAAAAATATACACTTCGCTTGGATATTATCTCATGCACTGAAGATTCCGAAAACTCCTATGTGGGTTGGGTATAATAGTTTGTTATTTAATGATAAAAGTACAAAACAAAAAATTTCATATTTAACAACCATTAACTCATCTCCGACTAGTAATCATGTAGTCGCAGAAACAATGCGTCAAGCTCAGAAAGTTGCACTTGAATGTAATGAACCGTACATGCAAGTAACATATGACTTAGCTACAGTTAAAATTGCAATGCAGACTGCAAATTCAATCGACGGAGAGAGAAAATTTTCAGAATTTTAATAATCTTTTTATACATTTTGGAGCATTCCACATTCAGATAGCCTATTTCAAAAGTATTGGAAAGTATATAGATAGCTGTGGCATAGCAAATATATTAGTAGACACAGAATTGCTGGCAAGTGGTTTTTTGAATGGTTTTCTTAGCGGAAAACACTTTAACAGATGTAAGAGACTTCACCCATTATTAAGCCTAGCTTTGTCCATCTTGCATTTTGAAAGTTTTGTACAGTCAGAAAATATAAAAATAACTGAAAGCGCGTATAAATATATTGAGGGTTTTACGAAGAATCGCTCAATAGTACCTATCATTGATTATGTCGATTTATTGCATATAATTCAAAAGTATGAACAATATAGAAATAAAACTTTAAACGGCGAACACGGAAAGACTGCACAGTTCTACATGATATATATTAATTTGGTTAATCATTATTTAATGCTTAACGCCAGTATACGAACAGGTGATATAGAATTATTTAAAAGCACTTTGCCAAAAATAAATAATTTATTTTTTGTCTTTAATCAACAAAATTACGCTCGTTGGCTTGTTATGTACCATAATAAATTATGTAGAGTTGAGGAAACTCATCCAGGACTCAGCTTACAGTTAGGAACGGGTTCTTTCGGAATAAAACGGATTGATAAGCATTTCTCAAAAATACCTATCGATCTCACGCTCGAGCAAACCATTAACGCAGATGCTGCGAGCCGATTAACTGGAATATTATATTTTAACTCCGCACCAGCTCGACAATGTTGGTGTAAAAGCCATAGTATGAGATCGAGAATAATATCCTATATATTACAACAAGCTGGCTTAAGACAAGCACAAGATATTACAGCTGATCTTGAAAAAAATCGCATCAAAAAGAGTACATTACAGCTTGAAAGTTTAATAGATGGAATCAAGAAAAATATTAATCTTTTTGATCGCACTTTAGACAATAGTTTATTGTTTAACATTTTGACTGGTCAAGCCGCATCAGAAGCAGCAGCTAAATGCTTGTTAAATGTTGAAAAAGACAGCGAGGATTTAAGAAAAAAATTTATTTCTGAATGTAACGAAGAAAGTACACGGTTTGAGACAAAAATTACAACTAATAAAGTTGTAAATTTACGGATAGTTTAAAAAAAAATTAATGTTAATGGAAAGATCCAAAAAGTTAGAATGCACCGCGATCTTTTTGGGCGGCTTCTCGCTATTTCAGTTGAAGAAAACATTAATCTTGAGAAAGTTTTGTCGTATCCATTAACTCCATTACCATTGGCATTATGTCATTTAGATGGTACGCATTGTAAAACAGACAAATTCGCCTTAATGAAAGCATTAGAAAGATCAATAAAGAGCGAACCGCCTGCATATACTGATGTTGTGTTAATCGATGGTTTTTTTTTTACTGCATCTTATGAAGGATGTTCCCTTAACCTTCAGAAATATTGCAAAACAGCTGTTATAAACTGTTGTGAAATTTAACGCACAACACATTGCAATAATTTTTTATCAATATTTTACGCCGTCGATCAAAGATTGTGAGCATGTATTGCGGAGTACATCGGAAAAACGTGACTACAATATCTCCGGACCTGAACAAAAACGTGTAAATGATTTCACGAAATAGCTGCACAACATAAAATTTAAGGAAGCATTTGTAAAGTTTTTGATTGAGTATTGGGCTAATGATGAATTAGCGCCATACTTGGGTGTTAAAACCGTCCAATTAAATTACGAAAAATGTTATCAATTTAAAGTTTCGGATGGAAAAGTTAAAAAAACTATTGAAGAAAGCTTTACTTGCACATCACACGAG